TTATGGGAATACAAAACATATTTTAAATGATAAAGAAGCTAAATATTTAGTACCATCCATCTGTCGGTTACCCATTATATACTCTGTACCCAAAATACACAAAGACAAAAAAAATCCCCCAATAAGACCAATCATCAATGGTATTAATTCTCTCACAGCAAGGCTAGGAGAATACATAGATCAATATATTCAGCCACTAGTAGAACAAACCAAAGCGTATCTTAAAGGTACTAGAGATATTATACTATTAAATCAAGATCTACACATTAATGAAAACACTCAATTAAGCACAGCCGACGTCTCATCACTATATACGATTATAGATCACAAGGGAGCCATCCAAGCAGCCAAATGGGCTTTGAATAAGTACTCTACCCTACACAATAAACAACAAAAATATTTAATAAAATGCCTCGAATTCTGCTTAAGTCACAATTATTTTTGGTATCAAAATAAAATACTACCTACAAGTGAAAGGGGTAACTATGGGCGCTCGTTTCGCCCCCAGCATTGCTAATTTATATATGGCACAATGGGAAGAGGAAAAAATATTAAAAAAACAAAGAAAAGAAATAATGCTATATCATAGATTTATAGATGATCTTATAATCATATGGAATGGGGATGAGACTTCATTATTCAATTATTATGAAGATCTAAATAAGAATAACAAAAATATAACTCTCACCTGGAACATCAGTAATGTTTGTTGATTTTAACTGAATGTGAGTGCATAAAGGAGAGCAATAAATTTATGTTTTTTTTAAAACGATAAAGCACTATATATTTTTCTGTTTTCCACTATACTAACGAGGAATTAAGGGAGAAGGAAATATTTCCACTATACTAACGAGGAAATAAAGGAGAAGGAAATATATCCACCAACAGTGCAAGGAGGCAAAGACTGCCAGTTTCCATCAGGAGCCATCCAGCCACTTATAGAGGAGCCCTAAAAGGATCCCAGCATTACTATATTCACATCAAAGATCCCACCAACACCTTATTACTATACAGCTGTGTTAGCCTAGTAATAGGCCAACAAGGAGGTGAGCACTTAATATTAACAACATCCAAGACAAGTTGTATTTGGGACATTCATTTGGACTTTTCACATTTATATGTTTCACAGATATATTTGATTATTCATCATTTAAGTTAGGGACACTCTAAGTTTGGACATTTTATTATTTTAGTTATATACCATTGTATTCTTTATATTATTTTAAAAAAAAATTTTTATATATATTTTTTTTTTTATTCTATTTTCTTCTCAGAGTTATATCACAATTGTCACAGATCAACCAATTATTCTTTGTAAAAGTGCGGCACCATTTACTATATTATATTCTAGTTCACACAAATGAGGATGTGATTAGGAGCCTGCTAGCTTTTATATTAATATTTAGCATATTATCCTAGTGGCTCACAAGTAACCAAATTAAAACTGTTCACTTCATGCTTTCGATAATACCCCAACGCAATTCAATTGGATTAAAAATCTTCATCGGGGGTAACAGGGGTAGTTGTTAAGCGAAAATAATCTGTTTCTAGATGGTGATGTTCCCTCAAGGCTGCCACAAAGCGACCCCCACAGTCAAGAGTATTAATCATCAGGAGTGCCAGCACGTCTACCCCCACAGTGAAAGCCAAGAAAATGGAAATATTTAAGCTTCCAGATGGAGAGGGAAGGCTGATGCAGGATTTAAACGTAAGGCCAGAAAAATTAAACATAATTCAGCCACTTGCTCAGTACATTTCTCCAAGCTGACCCAACCATGTCCGTGGCTGGTCAGGCTTGGAGAGATGTACTGCATGAGGGGGTCAACTTTTGGATACCTAGTGGATCCCTCGCTGATGTGCAAGGGAGGTTTGATATCAGTTGCCATCGGTAGAGCCCTGTGAGTGGGAAGTAATAATAGTCACAGCTATTGAACAAACGTGTCAAATTGCATGGAACTTTAGTCCTTTAAGCATTTTTATAAGGACTATCACAAATACATTGTTTAATGTTTTCCTGCCAATCTACAGCCTTTTTTGGAAGAACTCCCATATGCTATCGATATTTGAATTGCCCCAGTTTCAAATGTATTATTGTGATTCTCACATCTTCATCATATAGAAATAGAAATGTATACAACTACCATTTATATGAATAATGATCTCCACATTATGAGGAAATATAAATGGAGGGCATTATTGTAGGTCATTTTAAGATTGTTTGTCCTTGTCAATGATTTTAATAGACTTTAATTAACTATTTTTATGTGCATCTTTAAGGTAGAGTGCTGAAAATGGAGGTTAAGTTAATTTTTATTACTTTTACTGTTTTCAACACTTTTTCATATGAATTTATGCTGAGAAAGTAGAGTCCAAACCATTTTTTCATTGGGGTATATTTAATTTTACAACCTCCACATTTTTAATAGGCTAGACTACCTTAAAAATATGAGTAGAAAATCATTGCTAAAAGCCCAGCAACATAAAGCAATAATTACAAGATCCTTGGTATAGGCTTACCTTAGGAAGTACACCAAAACAACAGGCTGCTGGAGTGGTCAGAAAACACAAAACAGCTGAGGGGGAGGGAGGAACTTTTTAATCTCTTTCTGGTTTGTGTTTCCTGTTGAAGGTGGAGCCAATCATCTCTCAAGTTGCTATCCTGGAAGATGATTTAGGAAAATATATTTTTGGTTTTGGGATTAATACCACTGTAAGTACGAAAGGGATTCCTGGCTGAAACATTGTCAAAAATTACAAGTGAAATGATGCATGTACTATATCTTCAATGTGTATACCTCCTTTGTTCATCAATTACTCTCAAGGAAGTTAACTGTCACTATATTGAAGAGGAGCTTCATGCAACATGCCTGTTAACATTCAAAAGCTCATTGACTCTCTGCAAAAAAACTTAGCATTGTGAAAATTGACTCTTCTCTATCGCAATGCCCCTGTGGGCACAAAGAGACCTACATACTGTAAGTTTGTAAAACCTTCCCTTCCCAGATAGAATGTGCAGTCAACTGTGTCGTTCCTGTGAGGATTTTTCACTCTCCAAAGATGTTTGCTAAACTCTAGTGGGAAAAGAGTTTGCTAAAACATGGGCTATTCCTGTGGTTGATCCTGCCATTTTTCCTAAAAAGAAAACAAACATCTCAATGTATCTACTGAAGATGTTCCTTCTTTCAAGATTTTGCTGATAGAAATTTTGAGACACTCTTAGTCCTCATGCACACTGGACGTTTTTACAGCTGCTGTTTTTGGCTTTTGACATTTTTTTCTACAGCCAGTAAACTCCCCAGCATGTTATCCATGTGTCCATGCACACACAATGTTTTTTTGGCTGGAGCTAGTGGGCTTCTAGAGGAGTTTAGCTGTAAAAAAACACTCTACCGAAAAAAATGCAGCAAAACCTGGTAAATCGCAGCAAACCAGTGTTTTTGAACTTTTTTTTTTGTAAAAACAAACCTCTAAAAAAGGGCAAATGCGAAAAAATGCATCAAAATGCCGCTAAATGTTAATAAAAAATGCTAAAAAACCACTTAAAAAACTCAACTTTTTAATGTGACTTTACACAGCTAACATTACCAGCGTTATTAAAACGCCCAATGTGCATGGAGCCTTAAAAAGCTTTATTTAGCTTGGCAGGCTGAGCCCTGCAACCAGTTCTTGCTGTTCTTTCTGTATGTCAAACTGCAGCTAACTGGACATGGAAACACAGTGATGGCATAAAAAAAGACCCAAATGGTCCATTAAATCTGTCCCATTATTTTGTTTATAACTTTTTTTTGTCTGAGTGTTCTAGGACAATGAATAACAAACATGACCCTGTTTTTTCAGGATTGTACTATTACAGAGTAACTACAATTGTCTTCTGCTCTGCTTTTTTTTTTTTTTTTCGAGTAGATACCCTGAAACATGTCATGAGACAAATATTCAGAATGGCTCTAAATTCCATTCATATTTATTTTTATTTATTACCAGTACCTATATAGTGCCATCAATTTATTCACATTCATACATACACATACTAGTGCCCATTTATATGAGCAGAATCCTATGGCTAAAGGCTTGGACAGTGGAGGTTACCTATAAAAAATAGCTATTTTGGTGAGGAGCTTGACCTGCATTCCCAAGATCCTGCATTCCCTATATCAGGTCTCCCACATCACACAGAGCATGGAAATGCAATTATTTTAGTACATATAAAACTGCTAAATACCTTTTCTCATCAGCAGTATATAGCAGTCTTGTGACTTCTATCAGCGTCGCTTGTAGGAGGAGTTTTCATTCTCCGCTGATTGTCTTATGAGGCTGTAGGACCCCTGATCCTCTGTCTGGACAGCACTGATTTATCCTTATGCTGATCACATGCACTCTCCCAAGGAAAAAAAAAAACCTCTCTAGACGTGCATTTGTTTTGAATTTTTTGTTGCTATTCTGTCTTTCAGTGTTACAATATACCTACCATTCGAATTTTAGACTGATCATTCCTTTGTGAGTGGGCAAACATTCAAAATCAGCAGGGGTTCAAATACTTATTTCCTTCACTGTATGTATATTCTGAGAGCAAGGCCCTGTTGATGTCAGAATAAACAAGTCGGTGCTGCAGCTGAAATGACATCCTCATTTCTCAAGCAGGCTTTTTCCTCCTTTCTAAGATGGGTATTTACAAGCTGTTGGGGGGAACCTCAGCGATTAGGCCACTGTCAGGGTCCTGTCCACGGCAGGAGTTCTGGAAGATCTGGCGTTTCTGCCAATACTCTACATGGCCGCAGAAGGACACATGAGCCTCAGTCTGGTGCCAGACGGCCTTTATAAGGAGGCTCATCACTTCCTCTGGTTGCTGGATGATCTCTAGCTTCCCATGGTTTGTTCCTGTTTCCTGTGACCTGTGACTTCCTGTTTCTGACCCGGCTCGTACTTGGACCTGTCTGCTCTACTGAACCCCTGATCTGACCTCGGCTTGGCTAAAGGATACTCTCCCTCTCGCTTCTCCGTGTATGACCTCGGCTATCCCACCTGACCATGTCTGTTCTGTTCCCCACCCGGTACCTGACCTTGGCTCGAACTGACTAACCAACAAACATCCAAATACCAGAAGGCTTGCATATCATGCACAGGCGTCTCTGTGCACCAGCTGTGCTTCTGAGTGGACCACAAACCAGCACTCCTACAGGCGACCTGTGCAACTTTGGGCCTGACTCCTGCTGTCCCACTCTTAGGGGAGTCTGGAACTTAGCCGCAAGGGAAGCCCTCTCTCCATTGGTCTCCATCACCAGGTACATGATAGTTTCATCCAGCCAGTATGTCCGAGGCCGAGAGAGGCGCTTCCACACTAGAGGCCCTGTGTCGACAGATGACGGCACTTACCCAAGCAGTGAAGGATCTACAGCAAGGTCACTTCCAGTTAGAAGGGCGTCTTCATTCCCTCTCTACTTCTGCGGACCAGGATCCCTCCGCCAGTTCCAATCCAGTAACCGCACCTGCCAGTCAGTCTCCTGCTACCACTCCTGCTATAGTGTTACCACCTCCGGAACCCAGAGCTGCTACTCCGGAACATTTTCACGGGGATCGACGTAAGTTCATAGCTTTTAAAAATGCCTGTGAACTATATTTTGCTTTGCAACCCAGGACCTTTTCTCTGGAAGCAGTCAAGGTCGGGTTCATCGTCTCTCTCTTATCTGAAGAACCTCAGTCTTGGGCACATGGTCTTCTGGAACAAAAGAGCCCCGCACTTAATTCAGTGAGTGAATTCTTTGAAGCCATGGCTGCCCTCTATGACGATCCCCAGAAGGCCTCCACTGCTGAGTCTGCCCTCCATGCTCTACTACAGGGTCGGCGGCCTGTGGAGGACTACATAGTGGAGTTCTGTAAATGGTCTGCAGACACCGGTTGGAATGATACAGCATTGAAGTACCAGTTCCGCCTAGGCCTGTCTGAGTCCCTCAAGGACGAGTTAGCTAGGGTGGAAACTCCCTCCTTGGAGAACCTTATCCCGCTCACTACTCAGTTGGAACGGCGTTTACGGGAAAGACGCGAGGAGCGCACTCAGACCATTCAGCCCACTTGGGGTCTGCCAAAAGTTCCAGGACCAACGGTTCCTGCCTTTGCTCCGCAACCCATTAACACTTCGGAAGTAGTACCTATGCAAATCAGCCTTCTCTGACCTGCCCTAACTCCGGAAGAAAGGCTACGCAGACAGCAAGGCAACCTGTGTCTCTACTGTGGGGCCACGGGCCACTTCCTGCGTAACTGCCCAGTACGACCAAGTAAATCCAGCAAGGTCCATCCTTCTGTCAGGGATCCCCTCGATCCCTGCCGCGATGGTCCCGGCGCAGGCGCACTGCTCCGCCCTGTACACGGGCACTAGGTCCGGGCCGGCCGCGGCGTTCGAGTTCGCGCATGCGCAGTAGAAGCCGCGGCCGCCCGCTGGGCACCAATGGCAGCGCAGGGCGGGATATTTAAAGGTCCCTGAGCTGTCATTTCGTTGCCTTCTGGTCTTACCTGCTTCCTGTGATTCTGTACCTGTGCCTTGTAAGTTTATTGACCCGGATTGTTCTTGACCTGCTGATTTCTCCTGCCCAGACCCTTGCTTGCCTGACCTCTCTCCCTGGATGCCCCTCATTAGATCTGACCTCCTGTTGCTGACCTGGCGTGTGACCCGACAATTCTCTGCCTGCTCCCTTGTACCTTACTGTCCTCTACGTTACCAACTCGGCCTGTCTGACTTCACACTTGCTCAGCCATCCATCCCATCGGGGTCACCCGACCTCCTCACATCTGGCTCTCCCTGGTTGGAGCCCCTGGCGAACACCCCTACCACTGACAGGTGTGCTCAGTAGTGGCGACCTGGTCTCGGGGTACTACAAGTCCATCCCCACCATCAGGGGCCCTGGTGAACAAGTACCCTGGGGCTTAGACTCCGCGCGCTCTGGGCACGCCTGACCAGTGGAGTGCTAGTGGTGCCGCTCGGCGGTCCCTCACAGTACCAGAAGGCCATGACTGAGCCTCGAGGAGGACCCTCCCCGTTGGACGAGGTTTGCAGGCACCTGGCTACCCTGACGCAAGCAGTAAACACATTACAGGACAAATGTTTGCAGATCGAGAATCGGTTTCAGGCCTGCACCATATCTGCTCCTGTTTCACAGGCCCCGGCTCCTGCACCGCCGGTCGCAGCAGCCCACGGGCCGGCTCCTGGGCCTTCCACATCACTCCCCTATGGCGGAACCCCGAGTACCCTTACCCGAGCACTTCCATGGGGATCGCACACGCTTTCGGTCATTCCGTGACTCCTGTCTGCTCTACTTTGAACTGCAACCACGGACCTTTTTGACAGAATCGGTGAAAGTGGGGTTTGTTATTTCCCTGTTGCAGGGTGAACCCCAAGACTGGGCCCACCGACTAAGGGGAAATAATGATCCTCATCTGGTTACGATTGACAACTTCTTTAACGCTATGGCCATCTTATACGATGACCCACAACGGGCGGCCTCGGCCGAGGCCACATTATATACGCACTCCGACAAGGTCGGCGGGCGGCTGAGGAATACGCCTCTGACTTTAGGCGCTAGATGGGTGACACTCGTTGGAACGAGTTCGCACTTTTGCACCAGTTCCGTATGGGCCTTTCTGAGGCTCTGAAAGACGAGCTCGCCCGGGTGGAGGTGCCCGAGACATTAGAGGACTTGATTGCACTCACCATTAAAATTGACCGTAGGCTACGGGAGCGCAGATTGGAGAGGTCTGGTCAGGGTCGCGGAAATACCTGGGGGTCTTTCCAAGGATCCAGTCAACATACTAGGCCAAACATCCAGAACCTGCCGCCTGAAGATGCTCCCGAACCCATGCAGCTAGGCCTGGCACGGCCTAAACTATCGCCAGAGGAACGCCAGCGCAGACGCTCCCAGAATCTGTGTCTCTACTGCGGTGAAGCGGGTCACATGGTACGTTCCTGCCCGCAGAAACTGAGTAAGTTCACCTCATCTTCTTTATCTATTGGCAATATGAATCCGTCCCAATACTTAGTTGTTCCCCTCTCCTTTCAGCTTTCAGAAAGGACCGTGGAGGTGACGGCCATAGTTGATTCGGGGGCATGCAGCTGTTTTGTGGATATCAATTTTGCTCACCAGCAGGGTATCCCCCTCCGCCCAAAGGAGAAGGGGTTTCACATCTTTTTGGCTGATGGCTCCCGGATAAAGTCAGGGGTGGTTAACCAGGAGACCCCTTCCATTGTGACTTCTATTGCCGGTCAGCACCGGGAACTCCTCCGCCTGGATGCTATTGCATCACCCCTTTTCCCAGTCATTCTGGGGCTCCCATGGCTGCGGGCCCATAACCCCCAAATTGACTGGGAAACTGGGGTTGTCTCGTTCCCTTCCCCATACTGTCGGGAACTGTGTCGAACTTCGGGCCCGGAGGTCCCCCAGGTCCTCCTGTGCTCTGAAGGGGATGCCAGCCTAAAACAAGTGATTCCTGCAGCCTATCATAAGTTTCTTGATGTGTTCAGTGAACGGGGAGCAGATGCTCTACCCCCCACCGCCCATATGACTGTCCTATTGATCTGTTACCCGGTTCTGAAATTCCTTTCGGGCGAATTTTTCCCCTTTCTGAGCTAGAATTAGGGGCCCTGAAGGATTATATTGAGGACAGCCTCCGGAAGGGATTCATCCGTCCCTCCACTTCCCCAGCAGGTGCAGGGATCTTCTTTGTAGAAAAGAAGGACAAGACTTTGAGGCCATGTATTGACTATCGGGAGCTGAATAGGGTCACAATTAAAAATCGTTACCCATTACCACTGGTACCTGAATTATTCCAGAGCTTAAAAGCTGCAGTAGTATTTACCAAGCTGGACTTAAGGGGAGCCTACAACTTGGTTCGCATAAGGAAGGGGGATGAGTGGAAAACGGCCTTCCGCACCCGTTTCGGCCATTTCGAATACCTGGTCATGCCTTTCGGGTTGTGCAATGCGCCGGCCACCTTCCAGCACTTTGTAAACGACATCTTTAGGGACTTCCTGGACATCTTTGTCATCGTCTACTTAGACGACATTTTGATTTTCTCATCCTCCCTGGGGGAGCACAGGGTACATGTAACAAAGGTGTTGGGGCGGTTGCGGCAGCACGGGTTGTACGCTAAAGCAGAGAAATGTTGCTTTGAACAGGCTAGTGTTACATTTCTGGGTCTGATTATCTCCACCACGGGGGTCGCAATGGACCCTCAGAAGGTCTCTGCGATCCTTGATTGGCCTGAACCCACGGACAGGAAAAGCGTCCAATGTTTTATTGGGTTCGCAAACTTCTACCGGAAGTTCATCAAGAACTTCTCGGGTCTGGTCTCCCCCATCACTCAGTTAACCAAGCTTGGGACGCGATTCAGATGGACGCCAGAGGCACAGGAAGCTTTTGAAGCACACTAAAGAAGTTATTTACCTCGGCACCCATTCTGGGTCATCCCGACGCCTCCCTGCCCTACATCTTAGAAGTAGATGCGTCAGAAAACGCGGTTGGCTCCATCCTTTCCCAGCGAAAAGGCGCCAAGGAATTACTTCACCCAGTAGCATTTTTCTCACGGAAACTTACCCCTGCGGAGAGGAACTACGATATTGGGGATCGAGAACTACTGGCTATCAAGACCGCATTAGAAGAATGGAGGTACCTGCTGGAAGGTGCCTCCCATCCCATCCTGATATTCACGGACCACAAGAACCTGGAATATCTGAGGACGGCCAAACGTCTGCGCCCACGACAAGCAAGATGGGCATTGTTTTTCTCAAGGTTCCAGTTCCACATCACATACAGGCCCGGTTCAAAGAACACGAAGCCAGACGCGTTGTCGCGCATGTACAAGGACACCAAAGAGATCCCAGTACCCGACACTATTCTTCCTGCAGGAAACTTCTTGGCTCTTCAGACGAACCTTCGCTCCGAGATCCTGAGAGCGTCCACAGCGATGTCTACCTCCGATGGGGCGCCCCTCCGGAACAAGGAGGGACTCCTATGGAGGGAGGACCGGATTGTGGTGCCGGAGGATGCCCAAACCTTAGTCTTGGGACATTGCCATGACCACCCAATGGCAGGACATTTTGGCCCGGTCAAGACCCTGGAACTTCTCCGACGTTCCTTCTGGTGGCCGGACATG